TGCTCCCTTTATTCCATTCTGTATCAGGACTCTCCTTATCTCCTTCAGCAAAAGCCTCAGCTCCAGAAAAATTTCCTGGTGCTCTTTTTCTCCTCAAACTGTATACTTTGTATTTCTTTTCATCCTGCTTGCCCTTTTTTTTTTTTTGGTATATGCCTAAGTGTTGCGAGTAATAACTACTAACAGAGTTAATATTATGACAGTAAATATTAGCTTGTCTTAAAACCTCTGTTGCCAACAAAACCAGTCCAAATACTCTTCTTATATCTTTATCCCATAAACAAGGACGAAACCTTCATGGTAGACCCCACCTCTCAGTACTATCACATTGTCAATACCTACATTTTGGAAGTGACAAATTAAAATCATAGCCATGTTAGCTTGTTTTGTTCTGTTTTTTCCTTCCATTTAGACATGGGCAGCCACATTCTTTGCCAAAATATGACAAGAATGGTCTCTAGCCCAGTTGTTAATATTGTTCCAAACTGAAACCTCTAGAGCTGGGCCTCCATAGCCCACGTTGTACTATTTTCTTCTAAGCTCATACTAGCATGGCCCATTAAGCCCTACTTATAGATTTCAACCACTTTCCTAGTCCAAAGTCCCAAAGTCTTCTACATTACTCTAACGAATAACGTAGTCAGGTCTATCAGAGCATGAGCCCATTCCCTGAACCAACCTCTGTGTTAGTTACTTTATATTGCTATAACAAAGTGCCATGACCAAAGCAACTTAGAAAGCATTTAACTTGAGACTCATACTTCCAGAGGGTTATAGTCCATGACCATCATGGAGTTGAGTATGGCAGCAGTGAGGAATGGGCTGACACTGGAACATCAGCTGAGAGCTCACATAATGATCTGTAAGTAGAAGGCAAATAGAGCTAACAGGGAATGGTGTTGACTTTTGAAACCTCAAAGCCCATCCCCAGTGACACATCTCCCCTAACAAGGCCAAACCTCCTAATCCTTCCCAAACAGTTTCATCAACTGGGGGCCAAGTTTTTAAACACATAAATCTATAGAGGCCATCCTCATTCAAACCACCACAGCTAAGGACATAGATGAAAAGTTACAATTAGCATTTCAAATCAGTTGAATCATTTTCGTGCATGGCCATGGTGTGGACCAAGTCTTCAGGGCAACAGCCTCTCATTTCCAGATGGAGCAATAAGACCCTCTAGGCAGCCAGCTGTGTCCCTAGCTTACCAGATTTCCTCATCTGTCCGTAACAACAGGTGCAGCTTAGGGAAGACCATATGCTCAGCAGCCCTGGGCTTGATACCCAGCATCCAAAACAGACATAACCTAGATCCTAAAGACCACGTATACCTCATGCTCTAACTCAGGCTGTCAGCACTGGGTCTGTCCTTATGTAAGACAGGAAAGGGATAGAGAGAAGGCAAGACTAAGAAGAAAATGTAGCCATCCTCCTTTGCTCAGTGGCACTGTTTTAGGCTGAAAGGGAAAGGAAGAACAAGAGATAGGTAATACAGGAATAGAGATAAGCTAAGAAATGTAAATAGACAGGAGGGAAGGACAGGCAGAAAAGACAGGGTGGGCTAAGAAAAGAGTAGCAACGACCAACCCACTTCTCTTGATGTATGTTCACATCTCTTGCCATATGGCCACTGTTCCATCAGCATATTCTAGCAATGCTAGATGGTTCTGTCTCCATTTCACTGACTGTCAAAACAGGAGATATCTTAACATTTCTATCATATTTGGTGATGTTTGGCATTCTTATTCTGTTTTGTAAATCTCATTTCTAAACAAAAATTCAGGTAAAAAAATGTTTTTGTTGTTGTTCCAAGATTTCTACTAATTACAGCACTTCTTATCTTAAATTTATTTAAGGGCTATAGATCTTAAAAAGAAGAAAATTACTCTCATTTAAATCTTCCCGATCATCTTTTTCACTCCCACATACAGTACATCAACCAGGAATCATGAAAAAGTCACCTCCGCAGAGGCTTCCAGTCCACGCTGTTTCTCTACAAGCTGCTGTCAGTTTACTACGAGGGCAGTGTGATTTAGCACACTTTTCTCACTGTTGCCAGTGAAGAGGAGGCACCAGAAGCTTGCATGAGGCTGAACAGCAGCTGGGTTATAAACACTGACCACCTGAGGCAGGACGCAGCTTCCGCTCTTCCCAACTGTGCAGCGTGAGAGTCTGCCTGCTCTTTACCTCTTACTGGTGTTTCATGTATGAGCACTTCCTTCTTTCCCTCCCTGTCTCCTCCCTCCTTCCTCTCTCCTTTAATAATGCACAACTTGATTTTTCATGGTTATACCCTCTTTCTTTGGACTTCTAATTTTTACTGCCCTCTCGGGACCTCTCATTTAACTTTACTTTCTTTGAAATTCTATGAGAAGCAGCGAGTGAAATCTTCAAGTCAAAAACAGACCTCTCCTAAGATCATATTTTAGTAAACCACTCTAAAGTGTATTTTCATAGACACAAACCCATGACATACCTATGTGAATCTGCATTTATACTGTGTGATGGTTTGAAAGAAAATGGCCCCCAAAGGAAGTAGCACTATTAGGAGGCATGGCTTTGTTGGAGTGTGTGTGACTTTGTTGGAGGAAGTGTGTCACCATGGGAGTGGGCTTTGAGGTCTCCTATGCTCCAGCTACTCCCAGTGAAACAGTTCGCTTCCTGTTGCCTACAAGATATAGAACTCTCAGCTACTTCTCCAGCACCACGTCTGTCTGCACACTGCCATATCCCACCATAATGATAATGGGCTGAACTTCTGAAGTGTAAGCCACCCCAATTAAATGTTTTCAATTATGAGAGTTGCCATGGTCATGGTATCTCTTCACAACAATAGAAAACCTAACTTAAGATATACTGCTTCCCTCTCAGGAGATGTCACAGTGCTCTGTGCTAAAAATACCTAAACCTTTAGCCATTCTCAAGGGAAGAGGAGACATTTCCTCCAAACACACAGGGAGTTGGCACAGTTTGCCTCCCAGTATGACTTGGTGAATGAGGGTTAGCCTTGACCTTTGGCCTTACCAGAGGGACAACACAAAGCCAGGTTCCCTTTGAAAGCAGAGAGAGCTACAAAGCAGTAGCTTCGCACTGCATCTTAGAGCTTACTTGGACAGTGAAATGGTATATCATGTCTATGGCACACCTGGGAATGTTCACAATGGCACTCAGCTTGCACATTCCCAGAACAGGCTGGCAAGGGAACCTCTACAACATCTCAGGTAGATCATAAATCTCCAATACATTGAGGTTAAACAAACCCATATAAAATAGTTATTTACTCTAGGTCAACAAAACTGGAGGTTTATCTATTACAGAAGCTGCCAACTTACTGTTAAATCTCTAAATTAGATGCCATTAGCCCAAGGCTCTATCTTTAATATTTAGAGCAAAATTTCTAACTTCTTCACTCCTGCCTAACAAACCTCTACTTTCTGAAGTCATTCCTCGGGCCTTCCAGCCTGACTCTCTGGGACACATTACCACAACTGCCACCACCTGTGCAGTCATTTTCCTTCCCAGTTGACAGCAACACTTCTGAGAGTGAAGGATGTGTTTCAATCCTGCATCCTCTGTGTCCCGTGACACTCAGACACAGTTTCTTATAAGAAGAAGAATGGAATTAGGATTTGTCCTATGGAAAATAAGTGAAGAGGATGTGGTAAAAGTTCAAAAACAGGGAAAGGGATGGAGAACAGGAAGAAAGGGAACTTTAAAGTGTTCCCTAGACAAGCGGAAATTGAAAATGCTAAGTATACGATTTGAAAGAATTCATGCTAAAACAAGGAGTGCTGAGAGTGGGACAAACAGTCTTCTCCAGGAAACAGCACACCAGCTGGCTGTCCACCTCCAATGGTCAGCCCTGGAGAAGCACATACAAGGAACATTAAGCAGACTAAGCAGGTTGTATTTATGTATTTATGAATATATATGTATTTACATATATACACTTATGTAACAATATAATGAAAAAAGAGGCCATAAACTTGAAAGATGTGGGGCAGGGGGTACACAGGAGGGTTTGGAGGGAGGGAATTATGTAATTGTAATCTCAAAAAATAAATATTTTTAAAATAAAAATAATGCTAGCAAAGGAATCAATCTAGAAGTTAGTAAACTTGAGCCTCTTAGCTTCAAGAAATGATGGGATATAAAGAAATCATAAAACTTTACTGAAGAAAACTTGGTGTTTTCTATTTCTTAAGCTTTTGGGGTTTGGTGATGAAGGGAAAATACGGCTTTTGAGAATATAATGCTTATATCCAGAGCTATAACCCCAGCCCCTTCAAAATCATTAAGCACATTCTAGAGTTACTGAATCATGATTTCCCAGCTAACATCCAGCCAAAACTTACTGGGGTGTCTCTGCTCCCTGTGGATTAGCATTGGTCTTTTTTTTTCTTCTTTTGTAGAGTGCATCTTGCTACTGAGTCTTAAACTCCTATCCTGAGATGACTTTACCACCTTAGCTTCCCTGTGGATGCGAGTCCCCACAGATGGCTTTCCTTAGCATTTAGAGAATCTATGTAGAACCCGAGACAGCAAGAGTAAAGCCAGGGAATGATCCAGAATATCCCAGGACCTTCTTTCTGACTCTCTTGCATACCCTAACACATCACAGTGTTTTGAACACTGAGAAAGAGCTATTGCATGCCTATGAAATAATCAGCAGTCTCCCTCTATTTCCAGAACCATCTCTTTCCCACACCTGGAAAAATCCATATAGAGGAATGGACAGACTAATCAAAAGTTTGGCTATTTCACAGTGATTTCTATTCACTCTATAAAAACTAACTTTTAAAGTACAGATCATAAATGAGCCTTGGTTTTGTCCATCCTTGACCTTTCCATTGCTTTCCCTGGCTCACGACAGTCAACTTTCATCTGAAAGTTATGACTGATTTAACAGGAACTAAAGCATAAAATAGATATTTTCCCTTGACAGAAAGAATATTTGACCTCAGGACTTCACTCTGAAAGATTCAAAGGTACATACTCACCTGCAGCTGGGATATAGTTAAAGGGTATCGGAATAATATCCAGGTAACTCCTTCGCTGCAAGGTGGGATAGTAAGAGAGCCTTCGTAGACCCAGTAATCCCGCAGAAGAGGGTCTGTGCAAACACATGGACATGTTATGAAAGGGAACATTGATGGCCTTAAGACTCCAGCCATGATTTCCAAAATGGCAGTCTGTCCCTTCTCCGATGGATGACATTTTTAAGCTAGCGCCTTATATGCAAATTCTTAAACTACCATTTATAAAGAAAATAATAATGCAAGACATTATCAATTCCCTTTATATTTACAGAGATGTCTATCAATGGCTTATATCTACCAAGCTTAATACATTTAGGAAACTACTACCCATTTTTTATATTAATTGATTCACAGCTGACATCTATTGAACTATGTCAAGTAATATTTAGAGAAGTATAAATCAATTTATTGAATCGTCACAACAAAGAAATGAGTCACATTAGTCCCATTTTATAAAGGGAAACTAAGTTACAGAATGTTAATAATTTGTCCAAGATCACACAAAACTGGCAGAGGATTTGAACCCAAACAGTCTGCTTTCAAAGACTATGGTTTTAAACATTCTGTTTGAGCTATTTTACATTACTACTTCAGCAGCACATTACTAAGATTCTAAGAAGAAAAAAGAAATCACAGATTTGAACTCCTGAGCACTGCCTAAGAGGAATTCAGAATTAAATACTCCGAAGTAAGGGCTCAATATATGAGGGCAACTAGTTTGTGATAGAGCAGTTAAGTATAGAAAGAGGACACAATGGACCAATCTATTGGGTTTTGTTTGAAACACTATGGAACAGCACACAATTTAAGCAGAGAAATGTGGAGACCAAAATTTTATATTAAAAAACACCTTGAGCCGGGCGGTGGTGGCGCACGCCTTTAATCCCAGCACTCGGGAGGCAGAGCCAGGCGGATCTCTGTGAGTTCGAGGCCAGCCTGGGCTACCAAGTGAGTCCCAGGAAAGGCGCAAAGCTACACAGAGAAACCCTGTCTCGAAAAACCAAAAAAAAAAAAAAAAAAAAAAAAACACCTTGAACTCCAAGTTATATTCAGAGTGTTTTATGTATAATTATCACCTGTGCATAAATACAATTAGAATATTTAAATCGTGATGCTGTAAGAAAGTGACCTTATAAAATTAGATATAAAGTTTATTTCATTCTAAAAATGATCTAATAGTCTTAGCACTGTGCCAGTGATTTGATAGTTGTGGGTACTTTATACTGAGGCAACAATTTTACATTTTACAAATGATGTCACTGTGAATGTTCTTTCTGGAATATGGAAGCAGTAGTGAGGGTTTCCTAACATTCAAAAGGTTTCCTGCCTTATCAACATGATCTGGAACTTGTACCTGCTGTAGAGAACAGAAATTGCAAAGCAACTTTATTAATTAGTAATGTGTGATTATGAACACTCTGAGGAAAACAGTGTGGTGACACACCCAGTTCAAGTCCATTTCAGGTCACCAAATACTTGCTTACCTGGTAATAAAGTGTTAGGATTAAAGCAGGGTATTGTTTTGGATTTTCCCTGGAAAAGGAGAAGAAGTTCAAGACATGTTAATGTAAAATTTATACTTTTTTAGCAAAAAGTATTAAAACTAAGGATCTACTTTCAAGTCTTTTGTGATGATCTTGCCAAGTCCCAATATTCGTCAGTAGACCACTCTTTTCTCATTGGAGTGAGATCAGTTGGATCTAACAAAATACACCTGCTCTGAGGCTATGGCTGTTTGCTTTTGAATTTAAATTCCTCCTATAACGCCTGGTATAGAGTGTACAACTGGTGCCACTGGCCCCACAGAAATATTTTTACTAAAACAGATGCCATGGGAAAAGTTATCAGAGGAAGTCTCTTCCTCACCCACCCCCCCCACCCCCACCCCCCCCCCGCCCCAACTCAGCAGGGCTGGGCTGCTCAAAGCCTCCACATCCTAAGTACAGGACCAGCCTTTAGTTGCCTTCCGGGGGATGGTCTCTGAGCCTTTGGAGTATCCCCACCCTTGGTAAGATGTTTTCCTACACCTGAAGCCTTGGGCCATGCCATATTTAAGGTGACCATCTGGGGTTTTCAATCCGGCCCTTGGGTCTGGCCCTGGGAGCTTCACACCAATGTGAGCTGGTGTGTTAATCCCGGAAATACAAGGATGCCTTGTCTGGCTCAGTGAGAGAAACAGCAGCAGGGTTTAAGATGCCAGGGGAAATTAACTAGACAACTCAGGCTTGACTGACCAGTCCCTGAAAACAATCCCTAGACATCAAGGGTCAGGAGAGCTCCCTAGTTCGCATCATGCTGGGAATACTGGGAGCCCAGGAGAAACATCAGGGGACTTGCTCCAAGTCCCCCTAGACTCAATCTATGTCCCTTTCCCAGTATCACACTGAATTAAACCTTAACTGTTAACTCTAGCAACTATTCAGAGTCCCATAAGTCCCTTCTAGAGAATTATCAAGCCTAGAGAGGGTCGCTGGGAACTCATATTGAACTTCTTTTAAATAATGACTTACCTTATACTGGATATCCTGGAGTATCTCAGTCACTGCCTTCAAGCCAACATGCTCCTTCCCTATCTGAAATACACAGATATTTCAAAAATATTTGTGAAAGCACAAATGTGAAAAATATTGAAAAAACACAAACCACAAATATACCTTTTTAGTGCTTAGCTTTTATCCAAAGTAACTTCCAGAAACAAGACTCCAGTCCACCTGAATGGCCTTCTTGGGAACTAATAACCCTTCCATTTATGGTCAGGTCAAAAACTAAAGGTAATTAAAATTGTAAAAGCTTGTGCAATATAATACCAGAGAATCTATCCAAACTCATCTTGCTACAGATATTTATTACTCATTGTGTCATATGTAATATATAGAACTATAAAGGTTTGCTATAGAAAAATGTCATAAGTAGTTCTGAGTTAAAGTGACACAATATGTGTCTAAACTCTTGCCTGTTTTCTGTTTGTTTGTTTGTTTAAGACAGGTTCTCTCTAACCAGCCCTGGCTTGAAACTTGGTATGTAGTCCAGGCTGGCCTCAGACATTAGCCTGTATCTGCCTCTGCCTCCTGGGTGCTAGGATTAAAGACATGTACCAACATGCCCAGATTTCTCATTTTTATTTATTTACATATTTTGCCTTGTATTCTCGCCTTTAACATTTAGAGAGCAATGTCATAAATATTTCAACAAAGTTGAAGATTTTCATTAACTCAGAGGTGCATATGATGTTTCATATGTCAAAGTTATCAAAATTAAAATGTCTCTGGATTATTGCTGATCACTAGTCAATAACCTCTTCTTCATTCTTAGTAAAATACAACTGTTTCTCAAAGATTTCTACTTTAAATATATATTTCTACTTCAAGTATCTATATACTTATATAGATATACAATTTATATATTATATATTATAATGATATGTAACATAAAATTATATATTAACATGTTATATATGTATTATATATTATGTATAAATATGTAATATATTTAAAGTAACGCTCAAAAAAACTGATACTTGAAATACGTTTTCTGGCACTTAGTGTTCTCGTCTTTATAAATGTTTAGTGCCACCTGATTGCTACTTTCAGCCTGCTTCCAGTGGACCCTAACATCAGAGAGGAAGAGAAAGTAGAGTCCAGGATTATCTCAGCCAGACAGGCACACTACACTAGGCTTTTTCTATGTACATAGACGTCTGCAGAATGACCTGGGAGAAGCTGGGGTAGCTGTCAACGCACACTCCTTTGTTTCTCCTCATGTTAACTGTGAAATGTGCAAAAGAAAGAAACAATGAACTAAAAATGGCCAGTCAGCTCAATGTAATAAAAAAATTTCCTGAGATGGGTTCTAAAAATAGAAAATAAAATTCTAGTGTTTAAAAAGCATCCTTTGTAAATACATGCATGACTACAAAAGCCAACATCTCAACCAGAAGCCTTCCCTGATCTTCAGGAGAAGGGGACCCTCCTCACTTTCATGGTTTCACCAGGAGATAGCTCTTGGAGGCATGACTGGTTTGGATCAATTTTCCCTTCATGAATCTCCTGTCAGACCATAAGCACTGAGAGTCATCCACATCAGAACAATGTGAAGTCATACAACGTGAGCTCTCATGAGTCCAGACGTGCGCTCTCACACTGCACTGACGGGCTAAACTTCCACCTCTGAAATGGCCACATGTTAGCACCATGATCTGACTGCTTTTATAACCTCTATTCCTCCTTCCTGCTACTTTGAAATTTTCAACTCCCACTCTTTCTGATCAAGCTTATCCACCTGCCCAGCCCCCTGTCCTCTGTTCTCTCCTTTTACTGACTGTCGGCAGCTACCTCAGCCCCTCGATTCATCCCTTCTCATTAAACTGAATGACATCTTTTCTACCACTCAGGTCTTCCATCCCTTTATCCTCCTAAATCACCTGCTCTTCAGTTGATCATCACAACAATTTGTTAGAATGGTCTTTGCTCCTATGCGGATGGAGGATAATCCCTTAGGTGCTGTTCCATCTAATCCATGCTGTCCAGTCTTCGGTGGGTTCGCCTCATAGAATGTCTGTTATCTCTCTTGCTTGGCTGTTTCAAAGCCAAACCCTGCATTCAGGCCCCTCTTACTCTCTAACATGCTTTGTGTGTCTCAGAAGAATGACAGGCACCAAACATGAGTGTCCCTAACTCCCTGCCCTCTCCTCACCTAAGGCAAGTGGCTGCTCTGTAGGAGGCCTATATCCAGGTAGCCGGGCAAATGTCCTGTGCACAATACCCTCTCTTCCCCTGTAAGATGCCTCTGCATTAGCCAGCCAGTCTCTTCTCTGTATTTTTTTAAACTGCATCTGCACTAGCTCATCTTACTCAGAAGCAAAGCACAAGACCTCAGATTTCAAATCTGCCGCTAGATTTTGCTCCTTTGCCCCTTTCTCATTTGAGTCAAGCTTGTAGAAACAAGTTCACACTCAGCGCCCTCCTCCTCCTGGCCTTCCATTGCTGTGGCCAGGGCACCAGCCTGGGATGTGGAGACTCAGCCCCTTTCTTCTCTGCATCCCCTGACATTCACCAGCCACTCCTTACAGGGTGAGATTTCACTCTCACAGGTTATGTGACTTCTTCCTGAGAAAACATTTTTACACAGCCACCTGAGGCTTTCCTCACAACAAACACATGGAGGCAAGAGCATCTGCACACATTCTGGGGCTTTCCATGACCACAAGTTTGTTCCTGAAAACACAGGGGATAGATCCAGGAGGCTAGGTTTGCAACCCAGGCCCCCTTCGTCCGCAGACCTTTGCACACGGAGGATCAGATAGTAGAAACACTACACGATCATACCTAATTTAATTCCCAAAGCCACTGTGTACCAAGTCTGGCTATGAAGCTCACCTGTCCCATCTCCCCGCACGATGACTTGTGTCCCTAAGCTTGCTACTTTTATTCTCACTCCTAAATGATGACATAATGCCCTCCACTGCCTCAACTTCTGTCAGCTTGATGTTCCACTCACTTTTCTAGGTCACAGAAAAGGGTCTTTTTAAATTAATTCTTCCATATACTGAAAATTAAAAGCATTCTGCCAATGATTTGTAATTCATTTCTACCTATATAATAGTTGCAAAGCTAAAGGAAATAGATCTGTGCCTATGTAATCATGAAGTAAAGAGCAGGAAAAGAATTTCAATTTAAATTGCAAGGATTTCTCTTAATTCTGTCCATGGGCCTCAGATGCTCTTCTGAGACCCAGGGGCTGCTAAAATTCCCAAGGACCCTTTCATCTCTAATAAGTCTTTTATCATATCATGTAGCTGAGGATGAAGTTTAAAATTCACTGTAGGATACCTTTTAAATGTCTACTTTACAGCACATGGGTCCATTTTATGTGTCTGATAAACCATACAACATTCTCTGCCATCACAGAGCTCAATACCCATTTTAGACTAGTTAAGTCTGCCATGGTCTTTGCCAGTCTTACTTTTGTCATTGTTTTTCATAAAGCATTTCAAGTCCTCTTTAAGTGAAAATTATTAATAACAAAAAGACAAGGTGATTCACTACATAATTTTATTATTGATTTTTCTTAGATATTTTTAGTAAGCCCAGGTCTAAAAATTTTTTTTCTGAATTTTTTTTCCTAAATAAAATGAAGTCTGACTTCAGGAAACATTTTCTAAGTTGTTTCTCCAAAGACCCCAGATATCACTCTGAAGAAAATGTTTGATAAAAAGTGAACTATTTTATACAAGAAATACAGCTTGAATCTTGTAAACTATTATATTATCACTGTTTATTTGTGTTTCATTTGATCTCCAAGTAATAAAATTGCGAATTGAAATAATATTTGACAAAATGACTTAGAGCAGCATCGCTAAACAACGTCACTGCACAGCAAACAATTCACCTGGACGAACAACGCAATGATGGCAATGCCGTGGGGCTTCCCAACTGCCTCATCGATGCTGCCAAACAACGTGGAGTTCCAGTGGATCAGGTGGAGCTGAGGGCGAAACATGGACAGTGTCACTTAACGTACTACTCAGAAAAGCAGGCATTAGCCCATTCTCAGAATCAACATGGTACTGAGCATAAAAAAGAGTCAATCAGTCATAAGTGCACTGCTGCCCCAAGAGAAGTCCCCCTATTTCTGTTGCTCAGGGCAACTGAAAGATTGCACACTGGATGAGCGGTCTTTCTTTAAGTCCAGGCCCTACGGGATGCAAGGGAGCAAAACTACAGGTCTAGAAGAACACTATTACTCATTCGAAGGATGACGGCAGGGTGTGCATGCTCAGTGGTGGAGTGGTTGTATGCTGAAGGTCCTAAGTGTGAACCCTAGTACCAACAGAGAGGGGAGATGAGATTGTGACCTGCAAAAATTGCCCACTATTTCCAGAAGGAAACCTTAAAAAGCCATTCTCAAAATCTGGTAAATTATTTCAATTCTCTGAGAATATCCAGAAAGAGCAAACTGTTGGGGGAGGGGCCATATTTTTAGAAAAGGTCATTTCTTTGACGAGAGATAAAACCTTATCTGCAAAGCAATGGCAAACAATGTCTGCACTACTCACCTTGAGAAGCTGTGTGGCTCTCAGGCCTCTCTAGAATATGCACTTGTTCCTACAGCAGCCAAATCCGGTCCCCACATGACCTCCACATGCACCCCACCCCTCAACCTTCCACACCACTCACACAAAATAAATAAAGGAAAATTGAAACACTTTCTCATTTAAAAAGCAATTTCTCTCTCACCAAAAATAAAAGCTTACCTAAAATTTGATCACTATACATTTTAACATTTAATTTAATTTCCAAAAAGACTACCATAAGGATAGCCTAAAATTTTGTTTTCAACTATTGGATTTGTCTACAAGCTTTTAGCTTAGTATTTTTATGGGTCCCTTGACTGTGAGAACGAGTAGGTCTCTGACTCTGGTGCCTGCTCTTGGGACTCTTTTCCTCCTGTTGGGGTGCCATGCCCAACTTTGATAGGATAGGTTTTGCTTCATCTTATATATTTTATTTTGTCATGTTCAGTCGTTGTCTCTTAGAAGCCTGTTCTTTTCTAATGAGAGACAGAAAGGAAGTGGGTCCAGAGGAGAGAGAAGGTAGGGAGGAGTTGGAAGGAATAGAGGGAGGGGAAACTATAATCAGGATATACTGTATGAGAAAAGAATCTATTTTTAATAAAAGAAAAAAATGGAAACATCAAAAATAAAACTGACCACTAGAGGGAGGTAACAAAATCAGTAATGGAGTCAGCAATTTAAGGCCAGGCTGGGAAAGCTCACCAGGACTGTAACTGTCCAGTGTGAACTATCGAGGCACTGCCTTTCTGATTGCAACCTCCTATCACTTCTCAATTAATAATAACAAGGAGAATCATTCTAAGCTTTCTTCTGTGGCTGCAACAATGGCTTTCCAAAGCCCTGTGGTACAGATAAGGGCCGGCGGTTCCTGGTAGATCAACAAAGCTCTGAGCCCTCCTCCGGCAGAAGGTATTTTTAGTCATCATATTACAGAGCTTAAAGGACGTTTTCTTCTCATAGCAACATTATCGGGCACTTTTTTCCAGAAGTAAAGCATTAATACACTTTTTAAAAGCACGAATTTTGTTTTCTGTTTGTTTGGGGGTGTGGAGTCTAGTTTGGTATGCTACTCTTCCCAACTCAGCCGAGTCACCGCTCACACCTGCCCTTCAGAGACACTTGCACACTCTTTTAAGCACTTTAAGAGCCTTAAGGGTCCCCACTCTCTCCATGGGCACAGCATATGGTGACTGTTTCAAAGTCTGTACACAGAGGGGCAAGGGGTGACCTCCTAGGAAGGGAGCCTAACGAAACCACGTGATCAAGGTCAGCCTACAACCTGTCACACGGACAGAAGTCATGATCAAGGTCAGCCTACAACCTGTCACACGGACAGAAGTCATGATCAAGGTCAGCCTACAACCTGTCACACGGACAGAAGGTGCCTTGATATCTAGTGAGGATGGCATGTGCTTCTGTGCTCTTCCTCCCAGTAACCCTTAACTACAAATAATCATGATTAAAACGTCAGGCAAAACATCTGGCCAGGACATCTCAGAACTGTCAAAATCATCCAAAAGAAAGAGAGAAAATGACACAGACAATAGGAAGTGAAGAACCCCACAGCACTGCCAGGAATAGGTATCATAAATGGGATTCTGAGACAAAAGGAAATTCCCTAAAAATTAAGGAAATTTGAATAAAATATAGACTTAATGATGTATCAGTATTAGTCCACTAATTCTAACAAATGTATGTTGATAGGAGAAAATTGCTATGGGACACACAGAAATTTTTTTTGTATTATCATCACAATTTTTCAGCAAATCTTAAACTGTTGTAAAAACAGTGATTTTTCTTTCCCTTAAAGAAAAATAAGGGAAACACTAGCATTTCAGCCATCTCAAGATAAAATAGACAGCAGCTATCTGTGGTCCCCACCTGTCTAGCACAATAATTCAAAATAAAAGTAGCAAAGGAGTCTTGACAACCTGTTCTCCTTGGAGACCTGGTGGCTTAGGACCAAGAAGATTCCATCTCAAAGTCAACAAGCAGCCCTCACTCTGACACCAAAGGACCATCATGGTCCTGAGACTTTATCTTCTCCTGAAGACAAGAGAGAGACTCCATCTCTACATGAAAAGAGATTAGATGGCCAACTTAAGTTCCAGGCCAGTTTCCAACATATCCTGGAAGTTGGCCAGCCTGCTGGCTGTGGTCCACAGCAGTAACCAGATGCGGGGTCTGTGGCACAGCACACTACATGTTTGCTGCTTCTCAGCGTTGGGCTTGCTCTGCTCTTGGGAAAGAAAAATCACTGTTTTTACAACATCCATACTCCTTCTCTGAGGGACACTGTCATAGCATGCTACAGACTGGAAGGCTACAGCAGCAGGAATTCATTTTCTCATACTTCCAGAGGCTGCAAGGATGGGACTGAGGTGCTGGCACAATCGCCTCCATGTGAGGTTTCTGTGCCTGGCCTGAGGTGACTTTCTCCATGTTGTTACATGGTCTCCCCCCATGTGTGACTATGTCCTAATCATTGCTTCTTACAAGGACACAGTTATATTGGATGAGGACCTATGCATAAGTGTCCTTTCCTACTTACCTCTATAAAGAACTGATTTCCAGATACACTCATATCACATGCACTGCAATTCACCAGGGACACAATTCTCTTCATAACATTGTCCATCTCACCTGAGGTAAGCAAGCTTGACCTAGCTGCAACCGTTTTGAGTTGCAACCACCATGCCTGCCCTGAGTAGCCATCATGCACTTTCCTGCAGCCCTGTTTCCAGCTCACTGGCATGTGGAGTTCTAGGACCAGACCCTAGCCCTGCTACCCCCAGGAAGTGCCTGGTAGCTTCACTGCCACTTGAGATAAACCAAGTAACTGCAGCTTGGGTGAAGCCAGTTTTCACGACCACTCTCTAAGCCCCTCCTTCTCACCCAAGTCATGGGGCACCACTGTATGCCTGCCCACCTTTGGCCACACTTCACTTCCGTCGGTGAGTTCTCCGTGGTGCTTTTAATACCCTGTCAGCCTGATTCTTCAGTCTCCGGGCACCTTCCGCCTCTGGCAGCCAGGGTTTCACATGGGATTTTCCCAGAACACTCCCCTTTCCTCTCTTGCAATCACAGCACGGTTTGTTTGCATCTCAAACACTTGGTTTATTCCGATTATGTCTGTTCTTCCCAGCCCCTCCTTTATTCCTCTCATTTTAGCAGTTCTTCCTTAGATGAATGTTGGTTCAGTTCCTTAAATCAAAGCCACAGAAACAGGGAAATCACCGAGGCAAAGGAAGAACTGGAAGAGCTTTGTGGGAACTTAAGTCTGGCAATAATAAGAGGGGGCTGGAAGGAAGGGGACCAGACACAAGGTGCTTTAGAGCTTTTCATCGCTCTAATAGGAAACACTAAAGCAGCATAGGATTACAATGGTAATAATACCTTACTTAGAAACAATCAAACCTCCCCAAGATCCTCTCTTCTTCGAAGGCCTTTCTGGCAGCAGGGAGAACACACCAGAGGCTGGAATACAAGAAAGGTGGGGCCCCAGGAGTTACCACGGGAAAACTGCAACAGGGTTATCGACAGGTAGCTTTGGGTAGGAAGAGGAGTAGGGCTGTGAGTCAAGGCCTTGCTATGTAAGCCAGGCTAGCATAGTACTTACTGCACAGCCCAGGCTAGCCTCAAACTCGTGGTATTTTTCTCCTTCCTCAGCCTCCAGCGGCTGAGATTACAGGCATGCACCACCATGCCCAGCTTTTAGTATAGTCACTTTTATGTGTTAAGTTGTTATAGAGCTAAGCTATAGAGTTCAATTTGGCCAAACACCAGTCCAAATATTGTTGTGAAGGTATTTCGTAGCTGTGATTACTATTTAAATTAACAGACCTTAAGAAAATCTAGTTGCCCTCCACAGCATTGGTCAGCCTTATCCACTGAGTTGAATGCCTTGAGAACAACTTGAGTAGGAAAGAATCTTGCCTCCAGGACAAGACAAAATCCTACATCAGTTTCTCACTGAAACTCCAACTACAAGGCCAATTTCTGCAAGAATGCCCCACCTCCAGCCTGCCCTGGGGGTGTGGGTCTTGCCACCCCTCAATCACAGAGACCAACTCCATAAAGTAAACCCTTGCCTTCTCTCTCCTTTCTTCTCTCTTCTTCCTCCCCTCTCCTCACCCCACCCTTTCCCTTTGCCTGAGGACAAGAGAGCAATACAGGCTGTACAGACAAAAAAGAGAAGAGACCAACGGGGGTCTACATCTGAAAGCTAGCGGCAGGGCCACGAGGAGAAACAGCCTGGTGGCCAGATGGGCAGCACATTGAACCTACTCCTCTAGGACTGAATGGGGAGGGGGCGAACAATGCTCCTGGATAGACAGGTTTACAGTTTCTGCTCCTACTTATTTTTACCACATGCCTTTTCAGTTCATTTCTGCTACACATCACAAAATAC